TATATTCCAGAAACTGGAAAAAATTATCTAAAGAGGGAGAATGTGGCAGACTGGGGGCAATAGGGGTGTAGAAATAACTTATTAAACTATAATTTAGTTTGAAAAATTAGCTTCAGAAGTACATTGTTACAGTTGAATCTGGAATACTCCCAAAGGCCCATGTGTTGAAAGCTTGTTCCCTAGCAAATGGCCCTCCTGGGAGGTTGTAAAACTTTAGGAGGTGGAGGCTTGTTGGAGGAAGTAGGTTTCTGAGGGTCGCACCCCCTCACCTTTTTCTCTCTCCCCCAGCCATCATGAGATAAGTAGCTTTGCCCTACCGTACACATCCTGTGATGATATTCTGCCTCACCACAGACTCAAAGTGACAGGAACAAGAGACTATGTATGGCTGAAAGCAGAAGCCAAAATCAGTTTCTTCTTATTAAGTTTTCTATGTCAGGTATTTTATCACAATGACCGAAAGCTGACTGACACTCATGTAAATGTTCAAGATAACTGTAAAACAAAATTAACAAATATTGTTTCCAAGAAATGGAATACATGTACTTTTGTGTTATTCCTGTTAACTACTCATGAACTACTTAGACATTATATAGAAACACAAGACTAAAGGACAGATGGAGGCAGACTGGCAAGAGACCTCAAGACTTGAGAAATGACAGTGATGAATTATTTTTGTCTCAAATACCCGGACTGTACACTAAAGAAGCTGGCAACCTAGAAATGCTAACAGTCACAGATAAAAAAATATCCACTAAAGAAACTTCCTCTCTCAAATCTAAGGACCAGTAAAGGGGTAGCCTAGCCAGAGGAAAAAAATCATTTAGATAGTAAATGTCATTAACTACTGAAAACAGCTATAACAAAGCCAAGGGGCGACTTAGATTCTTCCTGGGCTGTAATGAAGCACCCTGTCCCTCCCCTCTTACAAAGTGGTATTGAAGACAGACAAGTGAAAAGCTGGGACTTTCATGCCTGTTCCTCTTGCTGTCACCTCTTGTCAGTAGAGACTACAAGGAAAGCCTGGACTCCAGCCCATACCAAGGTAATGAGGTACCCCAAGGTTTTCAGGATGGCTGTTATCCAAGGAAGCCCAGTAAGCATCAAAACTTTGATCACTGCTCAACAGAAATGACCCCTGGTGACAATGGCAATCAGAGGGAGAGAAGTGATAAGGTGCTCCTCATCCTTCCAGACAGGATGTTATCAGAAGGGAACTTAATGTGATATTGCAGGGATAACCAGGAGCCCCTTCCTCCCAGATGCCCAAAGGCTGAGTGGGAAACTTTGGACTTTCACTTTCACTTGGCAATTTCTCAACCATAGAGCAGTGTCAGGAGAAACCTTCTAAAATACAAGACTTTCCAAAAGCGTGTGATACCCAAGCACTCCCAAGGTTCAACTGAAATTCTTTTATCAAACTAAGAACAAGCAGTTTCTTAAAGTGAATAAGAAAACACAATCAGAAGTAAAGAAATCAGACACACACACTTGTACATCATAGGGTTTCCCTTAGAGAAATTTTTGATAGGAAAAAGGAGAAAAAAAAGAAAAAAAAACAAATAATTACATTGCAAGTATGTTGCCAGCCTCTGATTTCATTCTAATGTGGTATGAAAGCTAACTTTGCAGGATTTACAACTTTTTGGATACATTAAGGTCTTCATTGTTGCTATGATCGTGGTCTGCTTTGAAAAACAACAAGTTCCCAGCATAGGAAAAGTATGAAGTCAGAGAGTAGCTCAGTTTTACCTAGATTTATGAGCGAAGGATTGGGACATAATAGCTGGCAAGTAGAATGTTTTGATCTGGGATGACAAACATGACCTAAGTCTGATTGTGATTACCGTTGTTCAGCTCTATCAGTGTGCTAAAATCTATTGAATCAAGCATTTTGAGTTGGTCAGTTGTGTGGTATGAAAATTTTTTAGTTTAATAAAGTTGCTTTATTTTATAAAAAGAAAGGACAATCAAAAGAGGCCATCTTACTAGATGGCATAAAATGTCAGCATTTAAGGCAAGCATTTTAACAGGTCAGTAGCAGTGGTCACCTCTAAAATGCAAAATTCTTTGTAAATATCTTTTCCCACACTAAACTAAAGAAACCAAGGCTCTTTCTAGGAGCAGAGCATGATAACATACAAGATAGATACATAGGTAGATAGATATAAGATAAATATAACTGTAAGTCTGACATGGAAAAACTAGATGAGAAAGCTATCAAAACTATTGGAATTGGGACGGATTTAGCTCAGTGGTTCTGCCACCTGCCTCACAAGCTCAAGGACCCAAGTTTAATGCCTGGTACCAAACAAATAAACAAACACTATTGGAAACATACCAGAGGGACTCAAAAGTGGCTCTAGTTGGTCATCACTGGGGCAGCTTGAGCCTTCATAATGATGATGATTATAATAGATTGGAATAATCAAAAATCTATAAACCTATGAATTTATAATGATAATAAAATTCATTGTCACCTTTGGTAGATGCTTAGAAGCAATGTCATTTTTTTAATCTGGCAAATAAAAAGGATTTATCTCACCTTTACTATTAACTTTATGTCAAGACAATTTATCAAGCATAGTTTTTCTATGAAGAATTACACTAATTATTAGAGAAGGAAAGACAGAATTAGAATATTACCATTTTGCACCACTTAATGAACTAATAATGAAGGCAGGTAATGATTGTCTATGAGAATTGCAATAAAAGATAGAACCAGGTGAAACATTACATCACCTAGGAAGTACTCTGTGGGAAAAATCTAAGTAATTATAAATACTACAGGGAACTTAGAAGTATGTTTACTTGGGGTTGTAATCATTAAAATTCAGACTGATGGAACTGCTACAGGAAAAATCGATTATTTAATGACACTAAATAAACTGAAAGGGGAAAAGGAAGTTGGTATGCAAATAATTTTTTAAATGATCAAAAAATTCAACCAATTATAATATATCTAAGCTTTGTGAATTTGTAGTCAAAGAACCTGTAGAGATAATTACAAGGCTACTTTGAAAACCTATGTTAATATAAGTTTATCAAATTATTTTTTCTTTTTAAGTGTGCTAATGCTACTATATTTATAAAATTTTAAAGATGACTCTGTTTTGGAAATAGTCCCTTAATTATTTATGGACAAAATAATCTGGAATCTACTTGAAAGGAATGGGAGGAAAGAAAAGTACATGGGTAGGAGGGATATAGAAGAAACAAGATGGAACACACATTACTGATGGCTCTGGCTCAGTTCTGGATACATAAGAGATTATGATAATACTTTTCTCATTTATATACATATTCTAATTTTCCATGATACAGACATTAAAATAATGCTCTTTTAGTGATATAATATTATCACTAGTGATATAATATTAGTGGTATTTGTGAGGTAAAAATGAGATGCTTCAGCACATGCCTTTACAGTATAATGATTAGAGCATGGCAATTCACATATTCACCTTAAACTTTTTATCATTTTGTGTTATAAGCTATTTTGAAATATAAAATGTGTTATTATTAGCTATATAATACACCAGAATTTATTCCTCTTACCATTGGGCCTACTTACCATTATGCCATCCCTCCCCATCTCTCCCCCAACATCTCTGGTAATCATCTGTACTCTGTATTTCAATAAGAGCAATTAGGTATTTTAGATTTTGCATGTAAGTGAGATCATGCAATATTTATCTTTACGTGGCTTCCTTATTTTACTTAAAGTGTAAGGTAAGACTGCGGCGCAATTGAGACCACTTACATAGTCAAAATTAAGCAACATGCAGTGAGTTTACTGCCAGTTGGGTGCAGATGGACCAAGGGCAAAAAGGCCATTGGCACTGAGAGAAGGGTGAGTGAGGTTGATATAGGAGACTTTAGGCAGGGGAACACGGATGGAAAGGATGGAAACTTTTAAGAGTCCCA